GGGGGGGGTTGGAGGGAGAGGGTTTCGGGCACTGCGCCTCGGCGATCCCTTTCTGGCTACTCTACTCAAAGTCAACATTACTTGACAACCTCATCTCAACAGGCATTCAAAACCTCAAGTTTAAACTTTATAAGTATGATTAAGAGACTATACAAACATAATAACAGTATTCAGAAATTATTTTATAACAGTATTCAGATTGGTATAACATAATAACAGTATTCGGATTTGTATAACATAATAACATTATTTTATGATTGTTGAAACTGATGCATCTGATTCAGGATATGGTGGTATTCTTAAACAAAGAAAAGCCCCTAAAGAACCTGAACAACTTGTTAGGTTTACTTCTGGCATCTGGAACTGTGCACAAAGTAATTATAGCACTGTTAAAAAGGAAATTCTGGCTATTGTTCTTTGTATAACCAAGTTTCAAGATGACCTGATTAATAAAGAATTTTTACTTAGGGTAGATTGTAAATCTGCCAAAGAGATCCTCAAAAAGGATGTTAAAAATCTTGTCTCAAAACAAATTTTTGCTAGATGGCAAGCTTTATTATCCAGCTTTGATTTTCAAATAGAATATCTTAATAGAGAAGAAAACTCTCTCCCTGACTTTCTAACTCGTGAATTTTTGCAGGGAAAAAATGAACAGAGGAAAACAGCAGATTAGGCCAAACAGGCCTATTGCACCAAATCCTAGAGTAAATCCATTCACAATCAGGCAAGACCTGAATTCAGCTAAACCTTCAGTACTAAACCCTGGAGCAAATCCATACCCAATTAAGCCAAGCCTAAGTCAAAACAGATATTCGGCATTGGCTCACTTTCCCCCTATTACTCCAGCAGCATTACCACAATGCAATTCTTCGAATATGCTTGTTTTGAAGAAACCTTTCTCTCAGGACCTAGAGTCCTTTCAATCACCTTCAGGAAAACTCAGATTTTCCCAAAAGCAAACCAGCGATAACTACGCAATGAAGCAACCAAAAAACTTCGCTGAAGCAGTATCTCCAGCAACTAAGAAAGTTGCAAAGACTCTTTCCAAAGAGAAAGAAGAATTTGAAGTATATCCTTTGTATACTTTTCCTATTCTTGCTCTTGACAAGGAATTTGAAAATTATGAGATCAGAAATCTGCTTAAACCTGTTTATTCTAACAGGAATTATGTAGACAATGATAATGCTTTAAAAACCAGAAGGTACTTTGAGTTCATCCTGATTGACACTGGATCAATCGAAATTGAACATGAACTAGCAGATCAATCAGACCCGGATAGCATAGCCCATTCAAAGTTTACTATTAAAAAGATTTTGTCACCTTTTAATTGGTTGACTGACCATCTTCTCACTCCAGTTAATCTTTCAAAAAGATTTAACCCTCAGACATTTAATTGGTTCGACTATAGAAATGCATGGATGAACTTTTTATTTGTCAGGCCAATCACTCACACGTGGTTCGTCAAATATTGCCCAGAAGCATCAACTTCTGTAATCCCCAGGTGGTTCTACGAATGGTGGAGTTACTTCGGAGGAAATAAACAAGTCATGCCTAAAAGGTTTGAGGAAGGATATCCTCAATTTCAAATTGATGAAAACATCTCTACTCTTCCTGAGAATATAAAACTCTGTAAGTATTTCTTTAGAAGACATTTATCTTATATCATAAGTTGGACGTTTTGTACTGCAGAGTTTGACAGGATAAAATATCTCTCCAAAGAGATATGAATTAAAGGCTGGTCTCCAGCAAAAAGAGAATCTCCATGATCTTCTACAAAGAAGACATCAGTCAAGGTTTCACCATCTAAGAGTGAATTAAAACAGCGCCTTGAAAAGGCATTATCAGAATTAGATGATGAAAAGGTTAATCCAGATGAAGCTGCAATTGAGCAACTTCTTGAAGAAGCTTCGTCACAAAGTGACGATAATAGTGATATGTTGTATCCAAAGGCTCTAGCACAGTCTTATCTAAATCCTTTCGATTAATCCTAATTGAGCTTATTAAAAAGCGGAATAATTAGCCTTCAAGACAGAGATCAAAAGATCGGAATTGTCTAAGAAGGAGTAAAGGAGTTTCAAAGAAACGAAATCTTTACTGATTAAACACATGGCCCCAAAAGGGACCCGCCACAATAAGAAGACGTCTTCTCCGCCAAAAGTCATTTGGATTATTCGGAAAAGAAAGACACATGGATCCCACATATCTTATCTCCAGACAAAGCAATCTGGATTTGTCAGCAGAAAGAAGAAAAGCAGAGATTCCTTCTTATCTCTTCTTTTTTATCTTTTAAATTTCAAAAAGTCTATATAAAGACTCCTGGTAAAACCATTAGAGGCATCCTAGAATTTTCTATCTTAGAAAATCTGAAAGAAAACCTCTCTCTTGTATTTAAAGTTAGTGCTAAGGGTTTTACTATGCTCATGGAAGCAAACCAAGAACATAGTACTATTTTTGTTCCTAGTTTATTAAAATGGAATGATATTCTTACGGATGAAGAATGGAATTTCCAATCAATAACCAACCCTTTACCTGTTAATGCTGAAAAGTCTCATCTTGACTGAGTTATTTAGTTTCCTGATGGATCTGTTAACCTTAAGTTTCTAAGATCCAACTGCTTTAGCCAGGCATCTTCAAGTAGAATAATGTCCTCGGCCAGACCTTCTTCTTTTTTTCGGGGGGATGATGACCGAGCGAAGATTCTATCTCCATAGAAGAACCTATAGATAAAGGAATGAAGAAAAAACTTTTGAAAATTTCAATGCTAGTCCTTATTCTATTCAAGAAGTATTTTCCAGACTTGAAAAGAAAGGAACAAGTGTTGTAAGAGATACTTCTTGGATGATTTAAAACATGAGGTTGAAAACCTTAAAAAAGAGATTAAATCTTTAAAACAAATCAGTTAATTAACGATCATCGTATTTCCCAACTAGAAAATAATATTTCTGAAAATGATATTTCTATTTCTGAAAAAGGAAAAGATGTTATAGATAATGAGATTGATGAATCCCAAAAAGTTCTTGGAATGTTGCAAATTGTTACTGCTCATCGTTGGTATATAAATTGTACCATTCTAGTTAATAATGATTTTAAGATTTCGAGTATTGCTATGATTGATAGTGGTGCTGATGTTAGTTGCATTCAAGAAGGACTAATTCCTTCAAGATATTTTGAAAAAACTACGCATGTTGTTAAATCTGCATCAAATCATGCTTTAGACATCAAATATAAATTGTCCAATACTTGTATTTGCCAGAGTGAAGTTTTTATTCCTCACTTTTTCTTTCTGGTTAAAAATCAATTATATCCGCCAATTATACTTGGTGCTCCTTTTATAAATGCTATTTATCCATTTTCAAAATTAAATGCAAAAGGTTTTACAGCAAATTATAATGGTAATACCATTAATTTTGAGTTCATAATTGAACCAGTTACTAGGGATATTAACTCTTTGATTCATCTAAATCAAAAGCATATTGAGTCTTTACAAATGGAAATTTACAGTCTGAATATTTCAGAGTCTTTACAATCTTTTAAAGTCCAAGAAAAAATTAAATTAATTTCTGGAAAAATAGCTTCTAATATTTGTGCAGATCATCCAAATGCTTTTTGGGACAGGAAAAAACATATTGTGACTTTGTCATATGAAGATTCTTTTGATGAATCAAATATTCCTACGAAATCTCGCCCCTGTCAAATGAATTCTGAATTGGTCGATTTCTGCAAAAAAGAAATTGATAATTTATTATCAAAGGGACTTATAAAACCCTCTAAATCTCATGGTCTTGTACTGCATTTTATGTTAATAAAGCTGCAGAACAAGAAAGAGGTGTTCCCAAGTTGGTAATAAATTACAACCCTTTGAACAAAGTCTTGAAATGGATAAGATATCCTATTCCTAATAAAAAGATCTTCTTTCCAGGTTATATGATGCCAATATATTTTTAAAATTTGATTTAAAATCAGGCTATTGGTAGATCCAAATTTTTAAAGAACATACTTATAAAACTGCTTTTAA